CCCAATAACCTGCAGCTCCTCGCACACGCAGTCCACCAGGCCGTCCACCTCCAACACCGCCCACAGGGTGCTGCCCCCCGCAGACCGCACCGCACCCGCCTCAGAGACCCCCCGGAGGAGGGGGGGAAGAGGGGGGAGGGGTGCGGTGCCGGGGGTCCCCTTGGCCACCACAGGCACACTGGTAGCAACAATAGCAGCAGTAGCAGTAGCAGTAGCAGTAGCAGTAGCAGTAGCAGTAGCAGTAGCAGTAGCAGCCCCGGGTGCTGTATCAACCCAGGCGAAAGCAGTCTGAGCTTCCTCCGCTTCCGCTCCCGCTTCCAGCTCCTCCTCCTCCTCCTCCTCTGCGTCCTTCCCCTTACCCAGCTCCCGCTCCGTTCGCCCCCAAGTTTTTGTCACTGGCAAAGCCGGGGCTTCGTTGGCGCCGGTGAGGCGCAGGTGCTGTAGCGGCAGTAGCAGGACCCGCCGGGACTCCGCAGTTGCAAGTCCTGGCTGGGGGAGCTGCTGCTGCTGCTGCTGCTCCCCCTGCCAGCTCTCCCCGAGAGTTCTCCCCACGACCTCTGCCACAGTGTTGGGGACCCAGGGCGCCCGGTCTGAGAGCTGCTGCAGGTGCTGCTGCTGTTGCAGGTGCTGGTGGTGCCGCTCTTGATGGCGGCTCAGCCGCATCTGCGCCTGGTGGTGGAGGGCGTGGTGGTGGAGGGTGTGTTGAAGCAACACTGTCCGACCCAAATGCGGTTGGGCGTGGGGGGGAACCTCTCCACCACTATCACCACTTCCACCACCACCACCACCACCACCACCACCTCCATCATCATCGCAGGGAGATCCAACATTCCCCAGAGGTGGCTGCTGCTGCTGCTGCTCCGGTGGGGGTGGGGGTGGGGGTGGGGATGGCGACGTTTCCTCCGCCGCCAAGCAGTGCCCCCGGTCCGTTCTCCATTCCGCCTGAGAGCCGCCCTGCGGCTGTAGCCGTGTATGTGGTTGCGGCAGGGGGCGGTAGTCAGTTTGCATGTCA